ATTCAACCTCACCCTCGTCTCCCACTTCCAAACTCCTCCATCCACTTCCTTCGAGCAGTATATAATGCCACCTCCTCCGCTTTCAGAACCAGCGACTTAGTTCCTAATCACGGATTGCACATATATATTGCGCAAGTAGTTTGAGACTAAGTTAAAAGCGGAGCGTATGAATGTGGTATTGCCGTTAACGCATGTGGAGAGAATGCGGACTTGGTAAAAAGTGGACAAGTTGGAAATTACTGTTAACTTGATTTTTGTTGTCAACTCTCTCTATCTCTCTTCCACGGTTAGAGTTTCTGCCAAATTAAGAACCTCAAACACAAATACCAATTATACTTTTGTACGGAAATACTGCGCAGTAACATCCCCGCACCCGCGATGAGGTAGCGCTAAAGGATTGTTTGGTAATTCAAAGATCTCCATGGAGAAATAAGGCGTGTTTATATACCTCTCCTTCTGCCTCTCAATCTTACTGTTACAAGATTTCTCCTCCTCTGGTTCTAAATTCAAATTCACTTGCGTTGTCACACGCGTCATCTCACCCTTCATCTCGAGAGTCAATTTAATTCACTGATTCTATTCACCTTTCTATTCCCGCTTCCAAAACTTTCTTCTGCCCCTTTGTCTTTTTCCCAGCAGTATAAACCCAAGTACTCAGACAACTCAAATCAAGGACTGCAATGAATGCAGGAACTAAGTCTGGTCACACAGAGCCCGGAAATTGACCGGGAAACTATCGACCATATTCAAGGCTGAAGGCACGATATGTGCTTGATATTGACGAGTTTAATGTGGAAAATAAGAGAGGTGGAACAACTGTTGTTAACGTAAGCCTTGCTGTAAACTCCTAGGGCTTTTCCTTATTGATTAAACAAAATGATAAATGCAGGGTGTGGACCGCCGCCCAGGAGATTCTCTGCGACAACTTTTCTCCGCTCAAAGCGCCGAACTCTAATCCTTGAGCAATTGTAATTGTAAGGATCTTCAAGAGGAAATTAGGGAGTTTCTATATCTATCCCCATCCCTCCAGCTCACATACTCGCTACTCTCACACAAGTCGAGAGCTAATTCACTACTGTCCCATCTCCTCTTTGCTGTGTGGATTTAATTCACTCTCTTCTTCCATAAAAACTGCAATCTCTCACCATAATCTTTTGATTCTAGGGGTCTATATAAAACCCCCCTCTTAACAGGAAGTCATCTCAAATCGACCCAATCTCAACAAGCAGGACCAAGAGCCAACCTAGGGATTAAAGACCACCTTCAAGGCCAAGGCTATAATTACACGTTTCGTTTTAAATGAATGTAAAGTGTGAAATCGAAAATTAGGGACACGGGTAAGTGGCGCAGTTATTGTCAATTTGATCTTTGTTGTCAACCATCTTAGCCAGGATTCAGACTTCATATGACCAGTAATCATAAACTGCAAGATTGAACCATAAACGAAAAGAGATTCGGGCCGGGACCAGTGTTCTCGGACGATCATGCCGTCTTCTAGCCAATGGATCGTTTTTGATGATATTTTAGAAAGGATAAATGGGGAGGTTTATATCCTCCTTCCATTTCCCGTTTTTTTTTTGCGCGTGACTCGAAAGTTGCAGATTCACTTCTCTTTGCTCTACTCATGACTTACTCATCTATTCTATCTTTGCAGAGTCGAGGGAAATATATAAATACCGCCCCTCCTCCCCTGCAGAGCGACAAATCCCTACTCATTAACGACTCTCTCACGATGAGCCCAAAATGTTTCTAGATTTTGGCGCTGATTAAGAACAAACTTAATAAGCGCATTTTTGCAGATCCATGCCAGAGAAAAGTGGAAAAAGTGTTATCAAATTGAGTGCTGTTGTCAAATCCCCTCATCCCAACCGTTTCGAAATTCATGCATTATAGCTAAGGTCAAAAGTGAGATTTGTGGTCTTCCATTCATAGGTATGGCTGTCTTGGCCATCCTCTCTGTTCCCTTTTCGCAATGGCGAAGAGGGGGGATTGGGTTTATATACCCCTTCAAATCCCTCTGACATACCTTCAGATTCCATTCACCCTACTTACACCTACAATCTTCTCACGCAACAGTCACCACGAAATCCAATTCACTGATTGCTCCCTACCTGCACTTCCTGAGTCCCAGTCCCTCCTCGTCTAACTTTGGTAGTAATTATAGAAACCCACGCCTCTGCACAGCAAGACAATCCATTCAAATCAATATGGACCACCACGAGACTCGCACGAGGGTAGGGGATTGCAGACCACGTCTTGAGCCGGGGCCATGGGTGCGCCAAGTTTCAGCAAATACAGAATAAGGAAAGAGAATGAAAGTGGGGAAACTAATTATTAGCAAAGTTATTGCTAACTTGATTCCTGTCGCTAACTTACTTATTATTGTCAATTACCAGCTCTCCAAGTATCCCTCTCTAAAATTTCATCTACTTATTAGCTAAAGTGCCAAGTACGAGCCCTAGTCCACTATAATACGGCGGTGCTCAACAAAGACCTTTTCTCGCCTTGTTCTGGTTCCCAGCGCTCGTATTTTGGGTACTATTGATTGCCAAAGAGAATGGAGAGGAGCTTTATATATACTCCGTCCACTATTACTTCTACTCTCTTTCTTTTCGCCTCTAGATTCAATTTACTCCTCGACTCTCTTCTTTCACTACGCAATGCAATTCACCTATATCTCCAAACACTTATTCCCAAATCCCCCTCCCTCTCCATCTTTCCTTGCCCAGCTCTCGTAATATATAAACCCTCAATCCCACTAAACAACAAGCTCAAACTCGAAGCAAATAAAGGTGAAGAAAGGATTCCGAGCCGGGGAACAGCCGGCCTGGGAATTGAAGACTACGTTCAAAGTCATTGCTATAGCTGTGTGTTGGATATTATTAGTTTAAAAAAGCGAAGAAGAGGACGCGGAGAAATTAAGGAGTGAGGTATTTATCATCAATTTAATTTTCATCGTCAACTCTCTTCTTTCTCTCCCTTCCTCGAATCCTAGACGACAAGGAACTGTAAATACAAACCACAAACTCAAGCAATTTGTGACGCCATCTGAATCTCGACATGGTTCTCTCGATCGATCTGCTTCTTTGCGATCAGGATTATTTACTTCCTGAAAAGAAACAACAAAGTTTATATACACCACCTCGATATTCTTTCCGCTTTTTTGTGTTCTGATATTTAGATTCACCTAATCTGTAATATCTTACATACTCTTACCCTTAATTTCAGAATTTAATTCACCCCTCCTCTACACTCACCATCTCCCGCGAGGAGATATATAAACCTTCCCCCCTCCCCCTCCATATACTCCAAGCAACCCAAACTCTCGAAATGGAGTCTCATGGCGTCTAACTACGGAGACTTCGAAGAATTGGAGACCATGTCCCGGGCCCGGGGCCGGGCTTCAAATCCACACTTAATATTTACGAGTTCAAATTACAATTACCAAGAAATAGGCAGTAGAGCTTCGCTGTCAATTTGAAGTTTACTACCAACTCCTTCTCTCCCCATCGAGATTTCAGGAAAAATTAATAAATACAAATAAAAGCGTAACAGCAAAACCCCGGGGCTATTTAAGATCATGCTCGGCGACGAGTTTTCTTCACTTGAAAATTGCCTCTTCCTGGATTTGCATAATGAGGATTGTGACGGGGAGGGGAGGGAGGAGGGAGGAGGGAGGAGGGAGGAGGGAGGAGGGAGGAGGGTTATATACTCCTCCCCTCCATATCCCTCTTACTTATCTCTCAACTCAATTCACTCTTTTCTGTCTTACACGCCCTCCCTCTTTTTCAATTCAAAATCCAAATTCACCTATCCTTCCCCACCTCCCTACCTACCTCCCCATTTCCATTTCCATTTCCAAACCAAGCCTCTCTCCCTCCACCCCTCTTTTCTACTCTTGAGATCTATATAAACTCCCTTCCTACCACCCCAGACCAAGCAACTTAAAATATAAATCGATCATACGCTGACAGGGGAGCCGGCGACCACGTTGTGGAAAGGCTAATTTATGACTGACTACCTGATTTAATTATTGAGTATTTGGTGGAGTGTAGCGAGGAGATGGGGGGGGGGATGGGGGGAGGTTGTTATTGAAATTGAAAATTATTGTCAATATCCTTTTCGCTATCGGCTTTAATCTATAAATCGAAATAACGTGAAAAAAAGCATAAAAACCCCGAATTCCAGACCTGCCTACAAAAAAATGCAGATTTTCTCGTGCTTACCCGGTGGCACGGAAGCAAGGCAGTGCAGCAATCGATTTCAAAGATTGCCCATTCCATGAGATGCTGAGGGAAGTGGGGAAGTGGAGCAGAGGTTATATAAATACCCGTTGTCTTGTCTCCTCTTTATCGCTTTCTGTTTCTTTTCTTTATCGTCTAAATTCACTTTTTTTCAAACTACAGCCAGCCTCTCCCTCCACCTCTCTTCCTCTTTTCTAGCTTTCAAAAGAGTATATAAAATCTCTCCCGGCCACCCAGAATAAGTCCCTCACTCACACTGGATCTCAAGGTACCTAGGTATGGTCTCAGGATGCAGCTTGAGAGCAGGCGCAGCGCCGGGTCAAAAATTGTATCCCCGGGTACCTGGGGCAGTAATCCTTGACTGAGATATTACTTTACTAAGGAAAAACATGAAATGAAGATGAGGGAGGTTGTTGTCAACTTGGGGCCCCGCTGTTATTTTTCTACGCCTCCGACAGCGAGAGAGGATTGTGTGAAAGGCTGAGATTGTGGGGAGACTCGTAGAGAGCGGGGTATGGATAAGTGAGGCGTTTCCGTTCTGCGCCTGAGACCGATATTTTGTTCGTGAGATAGTGAGAGAAATGGAAAAGGAGGTCAGGTGAGGTATAAATACCCTTCCTCTGCTCTCTCTTCTTTCTTTTAGTCTAAATTCACTCTTCTTCCTATCATACACCTCCACTCTTCTTTCCTTCCTCCTTCCCCACAACATTCATTCAAACTTGACTATATACAAGAACCATCCAACCCCTCCCAATCCTACCCCCACAGCGCCCCCCTAACCCTCCCGCCCTCTCCCCCCGGCCCAAAAACAGTACTCCTCTCATCCTTCCAACAAACCTCACCAACCTTCCCCTTCTTCCCCCTCCTCCCTTTTCCCTTTCCCACCCCATCCCTCCCAACCTTCTCAACAACCACCCCCTTCCCATTCCCATTCCCCACACCCTCCCAACTCCCTTCTTTCCCCCCATTCCCTCCCACTAGACTCCGTCTCAAAGCCACATTCCAGCTAAACGAGCTCTCCCACGTCCCAGCGAAGATAGAGGAGCGGAGTAGGACTTCGTAGTCGACTAGTAGCGCTTGCTGCCATTCGAGCGCCCTGAGGGCTGCCCATTCGGATTCGAAGCCTGGGGTTGGGGGAGGCAGGAATGTGCCTGGTGCGAGGGGGCCGCTGAGGAGGGAGGTGGCTGTTTCGGTTGTGGGGGGAGGGGGTGGAGATTGTTGCGTTGAGGAATTGGAGTTTGGACGAGCAGCAGCAGGAGGGATTGAGGAGATTGGAGCAGTGGTGACGAAGAGCTCAGGGTCGAACGATGACAGGTAGATCAGTCCCAGCTCAGACGTCGCAGCGAGGGATAGAGCGTTAGAAGTTTGAACCTCAGCGGACGTCCAACCAGCTTTCTCGGCATCTTTCCCAACCCTCAAATGCACGCCCATGAATTTCGCGGCCTGGACCCCACCACTAGGCGAAAAGACGAGGTCTAACCTATATTTCTCGTAGAGCGCGAATAAGACCGCGGCTGCGACCCGTCGAATATCCTCGTTTGGACGGATCAGTTTGCCGAAATTGGAGACGAGATCCTTCTCATCGTAGGAGAGGGGGAATTCGAGGAGGGGCGTTTGGAGGGTTATTAAAAGCGGTTTTTGGGGCGAGAAGGGCGAGGGGTGTGTTTTGTTTATGTGGACTGCGAGGTCGGCGGGCCAGGTTTGAGGGGAGGTGAGGATGCTGGATAGGAGGAGGGGGGAGGTTGAGATGGAGGTTGGAGAGAGGGCGATTGGGTGCGCGGTGGAGGGCAGGTTGTAGAGGTCGTTTTTATTGGGGATGAGGGTTATTTGGGGGCAGGAAGAAGTGAGGGCCGCAGTGAAGTGGGTGCTGTCGAAGAGGTGGGACATTAGGAGAGTTGTGGGAGGCGTTGTGGTTGTTAGGAGAGTTGGGAGAATGAATGATGTTGCTGTGAAATAGAGAATTAGTTGGAGGTGGAGAGAGGTGGAAGAGAAGTGCTTACCACCAGCAAGAATAGTGTAACGGACACAATTCAAGATAACGTTCCTAACGTTCACGACCCCTTCTGCCGCGACTTCACACTCGAATATCAATCCCGGCTGCCATTTTGCTGCGTTACATAGCGCAACCAATGTCTTGTTATCGAAAGGGCCATCGATCTCGGTAGAGAGAAAGTTTTCTATAAACAGGGCTTTTTTGCCTTTGGTGGTAAGGGCGTAGAGATCCTTGACAGAAGGAGTAGAAGAGAAGGAATGTGAGATGAGGTACGAGGTTGTGAGAAGAATAGAGAGAAGGATGACGGTGAGTTTGCCAAAGTACCAGGCGCGTGGGGAGATGGAGGATATCATGGCCTGCCTCTAGAGGGAGGAAGGAAGAGAGGAGCTGATGCTGCATTGCTACGTGTTGTGAGGATAGGAGGAATGTCTTGGAACTGAATTGAGGCTTTTGATGTGGCTGGATGAAACATGGCAAATGGAAGATGCAGATAAAAGAATAAAGAAAATCGCGGGGAAACAAGAACCAGACTGGGAATATCCATGAACTTTCAGTGGATAGAGTGAAGCTATTTCCATGCAATATCAAGTATGGAATCTTTCTCTATTTAAATGTCAACGACAACTTGTCGATGGCACAAATCAACTCTCAATCTCAAAAGGATGTGGATGTTTCCGCAAAAGAAAATGCTGTAGTCTGGACCCCGCCACGTGAAAATCACAAACAAGTTTCAATTGGCCTTCAACAGACCCCGGCCGTACAATCGGAAGCCTCAAACTTGGGCCCGACCGTTTGAGGGCACGGGAAGATGCAGCAGTGAAGTGGCCACCATCCATTAGGCCCAGTACCCATAGATAGTTCCATGCAGCCAGATATTGAACTTCTCTGACGATCATTAAAACATCTTGGTACGAATATATCCAGGATTGGCAGATCCCGTTGATATTGGATCATTAACCATAAGTCCCAACGCATGATATCCCAATTAGAAAGCGCGAGTGCCGTGGAAGGCGTCGAGATCCTCGAGGATGACAGCTCTCTCTCTACGCGTGCACAATCCCGGTCAACGAACGCTCGGACGAGGCGCGAGAACCCACGATACGAGGGGAATGGCCGTTCCCCCTCGTTTGTTTGGATTCCGCCTTGATTTTTCTGCATGAGACTGAATCACGCACACCGTGGGGATGGTCGACGGGAGATGTGCACTGTATTTTAGAGAGATTGAAGGGGAGTGGCAGTCAGAATGGTTCATGCTGGGTGAAGATGGTGGCGGTGAGGCTGGAGAACCACCCATGGACGATTGCATGTGAGTCCTGGAAAGTGAGGCACCCAAACACGAAATGGTCAGGCTGCCAGACGCGAAATCCAAATACGGTAAGCGTCGACGCGTCGATGAAAACTGGAGTGAAAAGTGAGGATTCATGGCACCACGCTCAATTGGACGCCAGGAGTGATATCGATGCACTCGTGTTACTGTGCCCAACTGTGGCTCCCTCGTGAAGTCTCGTAATATTGATATTGTGACCATTGGGAGGGTTGTGTTTGTGATGATCCAGTTGCCCGTTTGTCTCAGTCGATGTTGCACACACACAGTCGTTCGTCTCTGATCACCGTCTCACTCTCATCCCATCCCATCCCATCCCATCCCATCCCATCCCATCCCATCCCATCCCACCTCACCTCACCTCACCTCTGCACTGCAACCACGGACTCCACCTGCCAGCCAAGTTCAAGGCCGTCTCCGGAAGAGCAGCCGACGACGGGAGGGGCCACCAGAGCTCTAGTAGAGTATCACGGCATTGCGCAAGGGTTTTCCCTTTCATGGTTTGGGTGGAAGGACAAGAGTGTTTCTGCTGCACCGCACAAGCATTGGGACTCTCCACTGCTGCAAACCCAGTGGATTGTGTATACTGTATCAGTTGAATCGATCTGCGCGATGTCCTAGTAGAGTTAGATATATCTGCAACATCCTGTCCATGGTGTCTCTTGTGCTCTGTGCCAGCCCAGTCAAATCCACAGTGTCCGTCGCGCTCGTCCACGCCCCGAGCTGGACTGGCGTGTCCTCCACTTTTATCCTCCCCTGCGACTCTCGTTTCTGCCCCCAAGCAAAGTGCATCTGCATCTGCATCCATCTGCATCCAACCGGGACCCAAGCAAGACCAGACCAGCCCCAGCAGCCCCAGCCCCAGCTAAGGTCAAGCTCAAGCTCATCCACGGCCATCCAAGCTCTTCCCAACGCGACTTGGAACTCTGCATCTTCCTCCAGACTGCCAGACTACCAGACTACCAGACTTTTGCCTACAAAGTGCAAGTCGTGCCTACCAGACCCAAAAGAGGCCTTTACCCGCCATCATCACATCGCTCTGCAGTTGCATCGCATCGCATCGCATCGCATCGCATCATCGACCGTCACTGTCACCTCCCCTTCGCTCTGCTGCTGCTGCTGCTGCTGCTGCACTCCTACCTTGGCCCATCACATCTGCAGCCAAACGAGAAGAGAAGGACGAACAGCAAGAGGAACACTCTTCCCACGAGTAAGAAGCGTCCTTGCCGCGAAAAAGACCAGATCGAGCATATTCAGATTCAGGATCAAATTCAGGTTCGCGTCTCGGAGAGCAGAACCGATATCATTCGTTGCCTATCTATCCAATCCCAATCTGCGGGCCCTGTCGAGATCTTCACTTCACGCCCCGCCGCGCACCCGCAAACTCGCCAGTCTCGATTCTCCTCAGTCTCACCTTTTCACTCGTTCACTCCTCCTCCCACTCTCTCGCGCATCTCCTCCCCACGCCCACGTTTCCACCCAACGCCAAAAACTCCCATCTCCCAATCCCAATTCATTCCCTCACGTTCTTTTCTCTCCAATCCGAACCCTCGTCGCTCTTCCTCCTCCGTAGGACCAACTACGACGACGCTCTTTAACTCTTTCGACCTCCTCCGCCGACAAACATTCCTCTTTCCTCCATTCCTTGGAATCCGATCGACTTTCATCCACCCGTCGTGCAACGAGTGAATGACTGAGCCATCCGGGTCGGACTTTTGGCAACCTGACGGGAACTAGTTGAAAGGCAACTACCGCGCCGAACAGGAAGAAAAACGAAAGTCGAACACAACCTGAACTTCATCCGCGCGCACGATTGCATTTCCCTGCCACTCGACTTTTTCCCCAAACAACAGAGGCGCAAGAGCTGGACTGTCCTTACACTGAATTTCAATTGAGCAGCATTCCGATCATTCTTGCACATAATAATCCGTCGTCGACACGTCGCAATTGAGAGAGCAGAACCAGTCGACTCGAACCACGAACACCCAGTTCTCCCGCCGGCAGATCTCCATGCAGGAACTCTAAGAATTGCGGTCCACCAGATAATCCGATTTGCTTCCGATATCCTCGATCGATCGCTCTTACAAGAGACGCGCCGTCATTCAATTCACTTCTTGCTCATTCAATCTCGCGGCTCTTTGCCAACCGCAACCTTACCTCGACTCGACAACTTCGCGACTCACGATTTCCTTCTTCCCTTCTACCTTCAATTCTCCCTAGGCTTCTTGTACCATACTTTTCTGTAATCACCCATTCAGCTCACCGTTTGCCTCGGTGCTGTACAGCACTCCTTGCTTTCCCCCCACCTCCACCCACGCAATCACATTCCAGTCGCGTCGATACACAACAAACATGTATTGCCCCAACGGCTCCGCCACTCTGCCTCGCGGCTTTCGATTTCATCATGAAGAAGGTCCCAAGACTCCCGAGCCTGTATCGGTGAATGAGACTCGACAACCTTCCCCGCCTCGACAACGATTCAAGGTCCGAAGACGAAATGCCTCAAACCTACAAGCACCTACCGCACAATTCCTTGCCTCTGTCGCTGCTGCAGACGTACCGATCCCTACAATCGAGATCCCACAAATGCACCTAGGAGATTCAGAGATGGTAGATCGAGAAGAGATCGAGACTAATATTCACCTACTTGGACCACAACCATACCCATTCCGATTTGCTTCACCACCAAAGACCCCTCTTCCTACTCTATCTATGGATGACGTTGTCTCTCGACGCCCAGATTGGTCTATGGGTACCCCTTCACCAGCAGCTGAGGACTACTTCCAGCGACCAACATCTTCTCATTCGAATGCGTCTTCTAATTCCGACGATTCATTCTACAGCGGTAGTCGAGCTTCACGACCATCAGAAGATGGCAGTTGTACGAGTCCGGAATCGGAGGCTGGTGATCCTTTCCAATTCCCCATCTCGAAGGGTAAAGGAAAGGCTATGTCATATGAACCAGTTGAGCAAGAGCCATTTGAGCAACGCCTCCCTCTTAACACCAATCTTCGCAGCAAGACTCGAAAGAATGCGATCTGGACACAAGCTCAAAGTGCTCATCTCTGGGCAACTTACAATGTCTACCTCCAAGACCCCACTGTTACTCCGTTCAGAATCGGTGCCAGCTCAATCCCACCAGAGGGAGTCTGCCACAGAGTAGCCAGAGAGGCTAAGAGAAGCTGGAAGGGTCCAAAATCGACTGCTCCCAAGGTTCTTACCAGAGTTGATTCAAGTTCATCACGTGAGTCAGAGAAGAGTGGAAGCGCAACTCCAACTGGTGAAGCTCCGAAGGTGTATGCACAATGGCCTCATGCTAGTTCTGCATCCCGAAACCGCCTAAGAGAGATGTGCAAGTCGAATAGCACCAATGTCTCTAGACATCGTCACTTGCAATCTCGCAGTCCAACCCCATTCACCAAGCTGAACCGACTTCAAACTCCTGAGCCTCCACGAAAACCCGTGAGTGCATTCAATACCAAGGACATTGCTCTATCTCTCACTACGAGTACTGCTGAGAGCATGCAACCCGATGGACCACTTGCAAAGCTGGGTGGAGACCTCTTGGTTACTCCAACCCCAGCAACATTCTCTTCTCTTGGAGAACCTTTGAGCGTCCCCAAGTCTCACAGCCTGGGTAACGGTATCAACCTGGAGAGAGGTCCTCGACGTCTTGGTTCGCCTTTCGTCGCTCGTACCTATGGACCCAGCTCCTCACGAAGTCTCCATCCTTACGATAGTCGACCATCTCCACCTCGAACTCAATCGGACATTCAGCCACTTCGCTCACCTGTTCGCTTTGATCACAACCACAACACGCGCTCCCTGAACAATACTCAGAAGCGACGTGCTGCACACGATCTGGAGGAAGAGTTGAGTCCTAATGGAGCAATCGTTCGACCAAGCATCCTCAACGAGCAACTCTTCGGTACTCCTTTCGCTCAACGACGAGTTCGAAGCCGTGGTTTCAGTCTTGGAGATGAGGCTTTACGTCATCGTGCTCCTGGAATCTTCCAACCTTCACCCATCGTAGAGCTGGTCGTCCCACCAAAGATCCAGTCACCCGTACCTCAACCTGCCTCTTCCGCAGCTCCTCAACTTCTCCCTGCAGCCAATCTCGCCCCACCTCGTCTTGGTTCGCCATTCTCAGCCTCGGGTCCTAGTCATACCTTCCCACGACGACTAACCTCAGATGGATCCTCTACAGTCCGCCGCTCTCAATTCGCAACGATGCACCAAACCCGTCGATCCATCGAATCCTTCGACTTTGGCGAAGGTCCCAGTCTTCAGAGCCGTCTCGAACAACTCGACCAAAAACTCCAACAAATCCGTGAACGAGAAGCCGCATCTCGACGTCAATCTTCCGACGAATAAAAAAGCGATTTTCCAAGACTTCAAAAGCATATTGAAGGAGTTTTCTGAATACATCTTGTCTAAAAACTATTTGTTCTATCTGCCACATTTTCTGTTCTCTTTCTTCGTTGCATTGGCATATGCATTTTTCGGGGTCCTCCTTTTTCGACTTTTTATGACGATAACGAACGAACGATGATCTTACATACGACACGAACGGATGAATTTCATGTCAGGGACGAAATCACAGAACTGGCTGCTGGCGTTTTTCTTTTTCTTCTCTTTCTTTTGCAAAGACGTCTTTAAAGACTCTTTGCTTTTTTTTCTTGCTTTGCTACTGAATGGATGGAGTTCACTGGGCTGGATGGGGACGGGGATACATTATGACATTGTAACGAATGGATGACATGGCTTTATGACGCGAAATGAATTGCGAGGGTTGCGATGGGGTGGGGTACATAGGTGCAGGAGGGGTGTGCATAATGATGATAGGAAGGAAGGGGGCTTTGTGTAGATAGATGAACGAATGGAGGGTGGATAGAAATGATATCATGACTCAATATTCCCACTTTTTTCTCTTCTTGCTTGCTACTTTACTTGTTCTTCCTGGCGAGTGAACAGCTGCTTTAAGTAGAGCGAGGGAGTCTCTTGCAATGCATACCAAGGTAGGAATTTCCATTTCAATCTCTTCCTCCCAGCTCGTTCGTGAGCTGAACTAATCTTCTAATCTCTCAGCAAGGCAAAGATCTCTCTCTCTCTCTCACAGTTTAGATAAAAAAATCCCGCTCCGTTTTCTTCTATTCGCACGCTCACGCTCATGTTTTCTTTCTTTCTTTCTTTCCTTAAGTCATAGTACACTGATTACCTGATTTTCCCCCTTAATTCTCTTCTCTCCTCTCCTCCTCTCTCCTCTTCTCTCCTCTTGTTATCTGTTTGTTTAGTTTGTTTGTTTGTTTGTTTCTTTGTTTCTTTGGTTCCCTTGGTTCTCTTATCGCTTGTCGTTCATTTCAGAATTTCAGATTTTAATGGTCACTTACAGGTTTCAATTCTCGTCTCGATATATCCATTTCTTCCACATCTGACTGCAGAAGAAACTAGCTAGGATATATGGCTTTGGCTATGGACATCAGATAAATTTTATAGGGGAAGGGGAATGTGTGGGGTGGGGTGGGGTGGTTAATGAGATGAGATGAGAAGTCCATGGTTTCTTCATCTTGGACTCAGGGCTGGGGTGGAAGGTGGATGTTTGTTTAGGGGTCTGATCTAGGGATATCTGGTTTGTGGTGGGAATTTTGGGTGTTTGTGAGGAAGGAAGGGGTTTTGGTGAGAAGAGATTGATGGGAAGAGAGGGTTGATTGGGGGAGGAAGGAGGGATGGGGAGAGAGGGTTGATGGGGAGATGATGGGGAGGGAAAGGAGGAGATTTGGGTAAGTGAGGTTGAAGTGCGAGATGAAGAGCTAGTGCTGGAGTTAGAAAAAGAAAGTCTCTGTTATTATATTTTGTTGTCAGTCTCAGAATTCCACGTCCCAAATCTTTGAGATGCTAATATAATAAAAGACTGACATTTACTCTTAGATCTACTGATCTATTTTCCTCTTCATATTAATGAAGTGTTTTGCTTGAAGATAGATTCTGCACTATCACAGCAAAACGCGGCGCAACGACACTGGTTCGAAATCTAGCTATGAACCTCTTTCTCGCGATGTTTTTGATTGATCACTAGTAGATCTTCCTTCGATTCCTAGTCAGGAGGTCTCGCATTTCATTGGAGAGATGGGGAGAATACTCGACTTTCAGCTCAATCACTCGAGATATGTTGTTCTTCATGCATGCAATGCGCTATCTAATATTTAATCGATGTAAATACGTACTACTACAACGAAGCACTTCCTGTACCAGCATCCATGCAAAATTCCTCCTACCCCCCACAAACATACATCTCAAAATCGCGCTACAGTACGCAACGTAAGAAACAGCCGTAGTTGGAAATATACAGTACATAGCAGTGATCCCCTTCCCCTTTTTCAGCAACCAATTCCCAAAGGAACAAAAAAAAAAAATCCCCTAAACCAAACCAAACCGTCATGCAAGAGCCTTACGCTGTATTATTATTATTTTTCAGTTCGTCTAGGTTTTTATTCGATCAGTCTACTCACTCACTCACTCCCCTCTCATCCCACCGCTCTTCATCGCTCATGATTATCTTTTTTTTAGACTTCCGGCGATTGAAGAGGGGCTGGTTTCACTACCTTGGTTAATTGGTTGGTTTATACAGTACAGTACAGTACAGTAACAGTATGTCTATTAACGACTCAATGAAGAGCTGTGAAGTACCTAAGTATTTATTTATTTTTTCTCCTTTTTTTTGGGAAAACTCGATCCTCGTTTTGTTTGGAGCAAGGGTCTTGTTGGTACCATTCAAGCCCCTTTTTACGACTGGGTACGTGCTGAGGGAGGGGTTGTTTGGTAAGTTGTCGAGATCGATCTTGGACTGGACTCGTGTAGGAGGGAGGGACGGATCGATTGGGAAGAGCGATGTGGAGAAGGGAGGGAATGTGTGAGCGTTGATGAACAGATTAATTAGCGAGGAGTTAGAGAGAGAGACAGAGAGAGAGAGATTGGAGCCGTGATTTTCGAAATCAGGAATTGCGTGCAAGCACGGCACCAATTATCTTGAACGATCGGGCTTGTGATTTGAAATCTTTTCCATTTGTATATACTTCATCTCAAGCTACGCACCATGCAATCTCTCACCTCCTTAACTAATCCAACAACCACTACTTCCACAACCCAATCCCTCCCCTCGATCAGAAAATAGCCAACACAAAAGCCTTAATCCACGCCAACGGCCCCCTCTTCACCTTCTCCGACTGGAACTGCGCAATGCTCTGCCTCCTATACTCAGGATCGGCATTCAGCCCGCTAATACCCCGCTGCTCCTCCCTCATCCCTGTATAGATATCGATGTCGCTAATCTTGACGTACAGCGGCCTGTGCGCGGGCACCTTGAACCAAGAGTACGTTTTCCAGATGATGTACAAGAAGACGATGAAGGGACCCGCGAGGTAATCTTGGAAGAAGATGGTGGCGCTCAGGTTGGGGCCACCGACGGGGTAGAGCGCGACGTAGAATTGGGCCGCGAGGCAGAGGAAGTTCATTACGGCGCAAACGTAGGAGCCCCAGATGCCGAAGGCGGCGCGGAAGGGGAGCTCGTCTGTGCTGTGGCCGTTGAGTTTCCTGTTTATGCACGGTTAGAGAGGGACGAGATTGGGGGAGAGGGGCCAAAGTACCATGCTTGACGGAAGCGGATGTGTGCAACGGCGATACTGCCGAAGATGAAGAAGGAAGAGAGGCCGGAGAGGGAGAGTAGCCAAGTGAAGACGTTGCCACCGCCGCTAGTGTCGAGATTGATGAAGGCGAGGCAGCCGAAGAGGACTTGTAGGATTACAACGACGACTGGACGACCTTTCTTATCGACGTAGGCAAATTGGGGTGGGCCCATACCTGTTTGTGGTCAGTGGTACTTTTTTTTAAGCAGGGTGTAGAAGGACTTACCGTTGTGAGCCAAGGCTTGGAAGGTTCGGGTAGAGCCAAAGGTGCACGAGTTGGCAACGCTCATGACGGAAATCAAGATCATGGCATTGAAGATTGAGGGAAGTGCTTTGATACCTGCGAGCTCGATTGCGATCACAAAGGGCGAGTGTCGACTTTCGGCTCCGGTGCCACCTATTGATGGATTAGTATACATTTCACAAAGATCTAGGAGACAAGTAGATGATGCAGATTGAGATAGATCATCTCTTTGGAGCAAGTTCCGAAGAGCACGGATATTAAGATGAAGGAGAATAGGGGTAAAATTAGACATACTGTAAAGGGGACTGTTTTCGGGTACAATGAGACCAACCAGGAACAGATTGATGATGTAGAAAAGGCAAATACGCCAAACGACCTGCTTGGTGGCTTTTGGGATTTCTTTTTTAGGATCTTCGGCCTCGGCAGCAGCGAGTCCCGTAAGTTCGGTTCCACTGAAGGAGAACGAGGCTGTGACGAAGACGGTACAGAATCCATGGAAGCCATTGAGGAAAGCACTGTAGGGAGAATGCCTAACAGTCCGGTTAGTGTGAGTTGAACCTTGGAGTAGGCTCATTCATACCAGTATCTGGCACCAATGTACCCTCTGTTATCGGTTGGTACACCGCCACAGTCGATGATAATTCCTAAAAGCATGAATCCGATACATCCAATGACTTTCATGGTGCTGAGAACGAATTCGACCTACTCATGTTAGCAATGACTAAGATCGTCCATTCATGAATGTTCTCTTACCTCCCCATAGCCTCTAACGCCAAAGAACTGGATGACAATAAGAGCAACAAGTAGCGGTACGATCCAAGCAGCATCATTGACATTCTCTACACTCGTCCAATAATGGATGATCTTGCTAAAGTCAGTGGTGACTAAGCATGCCAAGGGACCATTCTTACATTGCAAGCAGCGGAAATCTCAAAAGGGAGCACGGTAAGCCAAGCAATACCATACTCCCACCCACAGGCAAAACCCCACGAGGGATCAATGAACCTGCAAATGTACATGGTAAATGCGCCATTGATCGGGTACATGACGGACAACTCGGCGAGCGCTTGCATCATCAAGTATCTAGGCACACTCGTTAGGATACCTTCACGGAAGATTGGAAACTCAGGAATACGTACATCATGCCACCTGTTCTAAGTCAGTTACACTTGTCAGTCAAAGACGGATTGTATGGCGCTCACCAATGATCATGAAACCAATGAGCACGGCACCAGGACCTCCAGTCTGAAAAGCGCTGTTAGTCGCGACGAAGAGACCTGCACCGATCGCGCCACCGCTGAGATGAAGTTAGTATCTGCCATTGTACCTTGATAAACGAAGCTCAAGCAGATGAAAGCTCGTCAACGCTCTGCGCACAGGAATATCGAGGAAAGAGACTCGATCTAGGTGTAAAGACCTACATGGCGATCATCTGCATATGTCTCCCCTTCAGATTCCTATGCAACTTATTTGTCTCCACGACAAAGCCATCATTGTCGTCCGGGACCGTAAAGGCACCACCCGTTCCGATTTCATCGCCCTTGCCCCGCTTCTCCGGATCCGCGGGCGGACTGCTCGAGCTATCGTGATCGAGGCTCATGATTGTACTTCAACGAGGTCGCCTTTCATGTACAAACAGGAGAAAGGAACAGAAGACTGTGTGTGACAGGGAGAAGAAGTATATATATGGGCGGCTCGGACGATCTGGTGATGGAGGCCAAATCACTCGCAGAGATGAGATGATGGATGGGAAGCTCAGGTCGGATGAAATCCAGGATGCGTCGAGGGTGCATATGGGCGAACTTTCAACGCTAAATCTCTTCCGGACGCTGCGCTGATACAGCTCAAAGAGGCAAGTCGACTTGGTGATGGAGAGATAAGGAACGAGATAAGCCTAATTTGCACGCTGACAGCTCTGTACACCCGTCCATACCCGTGCCAATGGCATTTCTTTGTATGTTTATTCTCATAATTGCATCCTCTTTTCATTGTGATGAAAATCAACCAAGAAATTTGGACAACTGAAGTATAACATGCCAAGTATCGTGCAGTCAAGCTTCCAAAATCAAGAGATTTTAGGGCGGCAGCGGCACGGGTCAGCCCACCCTCAGTCCCAAACCAGGCGCTTAGCGCCGCGCTCCCCCCTACTAGCCCCTCTAGCGCAGATCGAAGCTTTTCAACCAGTGGATACTGTACTACAGTATGGTTCCCTGTTAGCTGTGCGTCCCCCGCAGTGACAGGTAGATAAGACGTGCCATGCCATACCATCCACCCACGGCGAATCCGAAGCTCCAAAGAATCAGGTCAAGGCCGATGTCTGTCCAATGTAACGACCCTACCCTACCCTACCCTTTTTTCCCCATGTACAGTAAAATGTGTGTGTCCGTTAAACAAGTCATCTCGGCCAGATTAATCTCTTCCCTCTTCCCTTCCCTTCCCGGGCACTGGTTCGCATGCGCACAGGACAGTACTGTACAGTCGTCCAAAGAAGCAGCTTGATAGGCAGGCGGGCGCTTTGCCACCGAGACGCAGCTGCGGGGTCCTCTTTTCCCAGTAAGCCCGCGATGGCTCCTGTTGGGTTGCGATACACGAGGGTCTTGCCTGATTGGGGGCAATGGCGAGAGGAATTCAAATTGGAATTGGAGGGAGGGTGAGCTGGTGATAGGTAGGTTGCGCGGGATGTTGATCGCGCTGCTGAGGGTGGTGGGCGCAATAGTTTGCGATTGTTTTACAGTACAAATTCAACAAATATCATGATCCCAAACATGTTTTGGAATATCAGCGGTGCTGACCAGAGAGCGGATGTGTGGAGAATGTTCAGGTCCTATGTATTCATGTAGACCTCCCAGCGAGTTTTCCGGGACAACCGAATTGACTCCATGGACCAATACGACCTTGATGACAGCCCATCGGTTCAAGCTGCTAACCTACCTCCGAAGAAGCTCGATAGACCGGAGATTGTTTTCCTCGATGGGTCAAGTACTCCTTCCATGTGCGGAAATGCCAAGATGCCTCCTGTTGAGAGAGACAGGAAAGACATCCTTCGGGAGGGTGAGCCAGATGGATTCCTTGACCTCATAGAAGGTTTACCCAAAAAAAAAGAAAAATTTAATACAGCAAACATGCCATGCACAAGTATGTGGCTAGCAATGATCTTCAGGGTCCCATGGACAGACATGGTCCCAAACAACAGTGTTCGTACAGTAAGTTGCTGGAGAACCCATGCCCGTTTCCTCGACGCCGTAGACTTTAATCCAGATAACCTTATCTGATGGAACCTCTTCTGTAGCTTCGAGAAGCATTCCTTCGTGTCAACTGCATGCATGTATGCGGCCGCATAAGTTTGCCAGGTCATGTCGCTTATGGCCACGGCGTTGATCCTTCCTTATCTGTGTCCATCACAGCCGCTTCGCCGTAGACGTAGATTGCTGAATGTCTTTCTATTGACTTGTTGACAGTTAGTTGTTTTCTCTATACCCTTTTTTGTTCTTAGTGGAATATAAATAACCTGTCCAAAGGTATCTTTTTCCAAGCCCATCTGCGCTAATCCCTGGAAAACAGCTGGGAGTTAAGTTATTCAGATGCCGTTTCCGAGATTTTCTACATCAACCTCGAGCTCGGTGACTTTAATCTGATGGCCTGTTCCTTATATTAGCTAGCAATGACTGTGTATTATACGTCTATCTTTTAAGAAAGTCTCTCTCTGTTGCTGAGCTCCATCCATTGTTTCTCTCTACCAACAAGATAAAACTCATAAAGTCATGTTGGCTGAGATCTCATTATTTAATTATTCAACATTCATATGCTTTGAAACATCGTTGATTTGCAGTGAAGTAATCAAATGGTCCACCCTGCATGCAATTCGACAACGATAACATTTGATGGGAGAGCTGCCTTGAAGTCAAAGTCGCCGAGCTGGAGAAAGTAGCAGCGAGGAGATTGATGAGCGTATGAGTCTGCACGATGCAGTTTATTAATTCGGACTAGAGAATTGAGCTTTGAAAGAGCAGGTCAGTAAGTGGATGGAGGAATATGAAGTTTTCGTTAAGCTCTATTCGTAACTGCGGCAAGCACATTTGGGTTTGCTGGGCAAAGTTGAGGCTTCTGTGACGCAGAGGGGACCGAGGATGCAAGTAAGGTGACGCAGAGTCTGAGGTCTGTGGGAACGGTAGAATTACTCGACCATCCTGCTTTGTCTGTTATATATCTCGACAGTACATCACTCAATTTACTCTGCATAGTTGGGAAGGGGCCAGGCCTCTGGACCTCACAGCATCGGTTATCTTTACGTTGACGCTATCTCATACAACGAATAAGGCATAACAAGGAAGTATTCGCGCAAGAACTCAAGAGAACATGTTTCTCATCATCTACCACTTCTGCCTCCACTTCCACTGAAAATAAATAGTTCACCAAAGACCTCTTCTGCGCCCTCTTACCGATCCCTATTTGGATATTGTCGACTTCAACTATAATAAGCTTGATGACCTCCCGGAAGAGAAGGTAGCCCTAGAAAGCCCCAGTCAGCAAACCACCATCGATCACAGTAACAAAAGTCTGAAGACTTACACCCATCAATATTCTCATCCACAACCGCCTTCTGCGTACACTTATTCATGGCCGCATTCCCCTGCGTCTTGGCCGTCGGACAATTCACCACACACGGCGTATCCATCAACTTCTGCAACGCGTCCCCCTTCCACCCAAACACGTAATCCGCATGATTCGCATACCCCGTCGCATCCCCAAAGCTCCACGCAAACGGCTGGCTCCCGTCCGTCGGCCACTCCGCCTTGTTGTTGAACTTGGACGTGTCCCACACCACCTCGAACAACACCTGCGGCATGCGCACCGGGTGCGTCGCCGGACACGGGCCCTGGCTCTCGAAGGTGCCTGAGGATGGGTACGACATGTGCGCCATGTGGTCCGGCGAGTCGAGGTTCACGCCGTCCCAGCAGGTGGGGAAGCGCACGTTGGCCATGATGCCGTACGGGCAGGTGGTGTTGGGCAGGGAGAGGCTTTCGGGGGCCCGCGTGCCCGAATTTTGCATGCAGGTGTAGGTTAGTTGGCGGAAGCGTTCGGCGTCGGCTTTGGTTTTGGCGGTTACGTCGCCGATGAACATGCGGAAGCCCTGGAGTCTGGTTAAGTTGGTGAGAAGAAGAAGAAGAAGTGCTGACTTACGGGTTTGAAAGCTGTTACTTTGGATTTTTGGGCTGTGTCGTAGAGGGCATCGGACCTAGAGACAGAGTGGTCTTAGCAATTTCTTCCGTTTGAGACGTATTGTCATGGCCAAGAAGATGTCGACTTTAAGGACCACGCTTGTCTCTAGACTTGACAGAAGAGACATATCGTTCTCTCTAAATTCCAAAACGTGACTTACATATAATAAACAGTAATCCCACCAACACCACCCGTGATCTGAGACAACTGAGGGACTCGCTTATACGTCCCATTCCTTGCACGGAAATAGAGAACCGCAGTCCAGTAATTCGAGAAGTCCTCTGCCATCGAGCAAGTTGTACAGGTCGACTCTCCTGGCATGTCCTTCTTCGGATCCATCGTAGCATTGAAGGAGTTCTAGAAACATCAGCCTTATCTCCAAGCGATTATTTGCAAACTTACACCTCCAACAATCTGATGTACATGAGAAGACGGAATAAGTCCCGGCTCGACCAAAGGGTCGAGTCTTTGGACAACTAGCTGAGAGCATTGGAAACGCAAGAGTGCACAAGTAAGTGGCGTAAGCGCCAAAAAGAGGAATGTAGTCCACTTCATGTTGGTTTAACGACTGGTTTGCTACTTGTTTCGGAAGCAAGCTTGTATTAGTATCAAAGAGACGAAGCTGGAGGAAATCCGAGAAGGAGGATGTGCGGGCTTTTCATGACTCTGAAAAGCTGGATCACAGATAACCGGCTTCCCAAGACCTGAGCTCAGATCTCGGCTGAGAGTGACAGCGGCAGTGAGTTACCGACTTTGACAAATACATGTCTATAATTGTTGTGAAAAGTGCATGTTCGAACTGCCGACTGAACAGAGTTATTGGCAAGCGCCTGCTCAACGTTGTTAAGCGAATCAAAGGTTCAGAGCAGATTAAGTTTGCCAAGGCTAGTAAATCACTCTTGGTGCAATGGTACTTCGTATCTCAAAACGAGGACTTTCATGAAACATAAGTTTGGCTCAAGCCATCGCCGTTGTGGTTTATCTTTGACGCAACATTTATTAGTCTTTTTCTCGCTTTCTGCATCGAGCAATAATTTCAGAAATAAAGTCTCTTGTCATATAAGTGTTTTCAAAAAGCAGCGTTTGAAGAAATGTATTGTTGATGTGCATTCAAGTCATCTTGAAGTCACAGCTTAAGTCGTAGGAATGCTGACTACAAGTGCCGAAGTAGGCTAAACCTAAGCCTCAGTCTGATAAATGAAATGTCAATCATCGCGACGAAAATAAATGACGATGCGGGGAAGATTTAAAGTTTCCAAGCAGGATCCAAGTGCCGGGGAGGTGGATAAATGAACTCATATTGTGTCGGGAGTGGAGAAAGCCAACTGCACCCCGCATTACAGGACAACATGCTTGGAAAGACTTGTAAATATAGTCCAGTTCGACATCGGAGGCAACTTGTTTATGGAAATGAGTTTATCTATCGCCGGGTAGAATGTCAACCCACGTGGCCACCTTGAAAGATCACTGAAGATAATTGTTCCTTCCTCCGTCACAACATCTTCTACTTTCAAACTCTAAAGTCGTGTTCAACATCAAGCCCCAATACAAAACTTAACAATGCGATTCTCACTTGGAGTTTTCGCCGTCTTCATCATTCCTGCACTCGCAGATGGTCCCTGCGATGTCAATTCCGATTCGTGCAGAGCAGTGATCAACGCAAGCGCCTGCTTCAACGAATTTATGTCTGGTGGGAACAAAGCTTCAATTCTGAATTGTCTCGCTGGTACAGATGGAGCAGCTTCGCCTAAAGACAAAGTAAGGAAGAGTCTATAGTGGGAAAAGAACTATGCTGATTGACTCCTTAGATGTGCGCATGCACTGGATGTGTTGCTCCGGTCATGACGGCGTGGCTTACAAAGAACAATGTTTGCACTTGATGAAATGGTTAGGGCAGACAAGATAAAGTCGATTTGACTTGGGATATTTGCAAGATTGTAAGAACAGAGGTGATAGGATGCTGAGGGAGCGTTTTAAAGTGTACGCGAATTTTGTATGGTACGGCTCCGATTCGGGATTGTCGGGAGATGATAATCTAGATTGGAATTCAATCCTTGACGCATGTGCGCTCCAGTTCTGCTATCAAATGCTTCTTCCGACTAGGAGATGTCTTACAGTATATGTGCCAAAAGCATCCGATGTGATACCTTATGGTATAAATATTTTCTACTCGCAAGTGTTGTTGGCCGTGATAGCCGTCCGCAAGTATGACTATATAATTGTGGGATTTATTCTCTCAGTTAATAACTCGGTACCTTTGGATTTGAATCTGGAAAGTCCTCGGCCACGCTCGAATAATCAAGAGGTTCAGGAAACAGATAGGATTGAACTATGCGAATCGGTCACGTGTAACTTCTTTCCCCCTCTCTACCGTCCACCACCGGAGCCAAAATGAAAGGAACACAGAGTACGATGCTCAATTAAATGTTTTCTAGCACAGTAGCAAGATTCGGAACGAAATCACAAGATCTGTCATGCAAAAATGAGTGAAGTCTGTGCTAATAAAGTGTGCAAAAGTGCTACTAATTCCTATATTCACATTCGCCTTGATCTTCACCCATGATATATTTATTCAACAGCAGTCCAAAAAAACCTGCGGAGACCTGAGGACTGCCTACTAGAGCCTCACCAGGCTGTAAGTCAAAATTTGCCATTTTAAGAACAAGGGTTCGTCAAATAATGAAGCATTGATGAAGAACTACAAAGATCTAATTATATACATAATGAAACCGGCCGAATGCAGCACTACTACTTAAGAAGACCGAAGTAGGTCTAATAAGCTATCTTTGTTGAAACCTCGACGGATTGAGGATTCTTAGCACTAGTCACCAAGTGGAAGCACTTGCTCGAGGAACAAGGAAAAAATCTCTTTAATTCACGTCGCCATGAAAATTCCTCGACCGCTATAAGAGAACTATATTGTTTTCGGCTTGCCGACATATTGACGAGCATCGATTGATGGGGTTTCCGCCTTTGGCATTAATAAATCCTCTTATAAATACAGAACCGACCATGCCTCACGCGTGCAAAGGTGTGCAGCACCACTGCCCAGGAGCGAAAAGGCCGGTAGACGGAGGCGGAGTACATATACCGGCAGGTGGATGCAGGTACAAAACGGTATATTGTAATCCGGGGCAGGGAAGATATTGTGAAACGCATGAATACTATTGTGCGAAGCATGATTGGATTTATATGAAAAATGCAACGTGCAGGGCGTGCGACAAGGAGAAAATGTGAGTATTATCCCAATGTTTCACGATTATATCTAACATTGAGCGTAGCAAGAGGATAGCTGAGTTGAAGAAGCAGAAAGAGGCGGACGATGAGGAAAATAAAAGAGGTCCTTCGAAAAAGAAGAAAGGAAAAGGAAAGGAGAAGGACAAGACGAAGAACACCAAGAAGACAATCAACAAGCAAGAGAAGAACAAGAAGAAAGCAGCTGATGCAAAGAAAGCAGCCACGACTGTCAAGGTTCTGAACCTATGGCTGTCTGGAGAGAAGACAATTGACCTTGAACAGCTGAAGAACTCCCACAGCCACATTGTCTTCACAGACGGATTCAACTCCTTTTCACTAGAACCCATCGTGGTTCTCAACGCTATTGCGCCATTTTTGTATGACCAGGAGGGGCTGAATCTTGCTCAAGTCATCTCGAACAAAACAATGCTGAAAACTAAGCCACAGGCACTGTCTAGATACAACCTTCGGTCGTGTTGCTCAGATGGTTCCGACACTGATACTGAAGAAGACAACTCTAGTGACGACGATTTCCAAAGTGCAACAGATGGAATAGACGGCGAAGACGCTACCACCACCGTTTGAGTAGATACAAGGAGTTTCGGGTCTGGCGTTGGAGTTTGGGTGGAATCTAGGTGTATATAATGTTTAATTTTTTAGAATGAACTTCTTAATATGATATGGCAAAGTTCAAAACCTGAACGGGCATGCAGAAGATACTATCAGAAATTGTGTGCCACTTTCAGTTGGTAATGAGTATGTTCGTTGACTAGGACGGAACCTCATTTGTAATTCCAGGTTGAATTAATGTCTCATAACTCAAGGAATTCCCAGTGATAATTCAGCAGACCAATTGTGTGGATGTCAACGTCGAGAACTTCCGCAACCGGCGAGGTCATCCAGGGACTATTCGCAATGTAACGTCTGACTCAATGCAATGACTTATTAAAGTTGAATGAATTGACGATAATCCGATTCGGGCTAGCTCGCTATCGCTAGGCTTGGGATGTACATAGAAACAAATATGCATTTTCTTGCCGTAAAAAACAGAAAGAGTTGTACTTGAGCAGTAGGGCGGCCGAATGGTCGAGTCCACAACGATAGAAATCGGATTCTCGTTTCCTGCGAAGATGCTTACTCATATATGACTCGCTTGAATCTGTTATCCCCCTAGATACTCTGTGGCTGGTATCTAGGAAAAGGTTTTGCAATTTTTATTGTTTTTCATACGAAAGGGCTACCAAGCTGCGGTTTTGCGGGACAGTAGATAGAAAGCAACCGAGATAGGAAAGAGCACAACAATATCGCTGGAACGTTTAGCCCTAATGTCGGTCCCCATACGATTTTGAGGTGAAATCAAAGAAAAGTTTTGAAGTGCATGAATAGCTGAAATGCTGGAAGGCGCCAAGTAGCAAGGAGGTTGGTAATTTTCTTGGCGAAACTCATTGGTTCTCAGGGAAACTTTAGCGAGATCAATACCTTGCGAAGTAGTGGGGAAGCGCGCATCCAAAGGCGCGAAGTCGCGTCTGCTCACCTGGACTGTTCTACACTTTACTATTTACATGCAATGATCTCGTCGCAGCAAGCCACTCCGCATATACGAAATTGCCTGCTCACTCGTATGTCTGATTAAAACTCTATCACCATGGACATCTCGGACATTCTCCAAGATCTCAACACCCGGCATCTCGACCGCGATCCTTTTGCAGAAAATGGAGATGATTACGGAGAAGACGAACAATCAGGCCAAGCCGACCTTCAAGCCCTGACCAGAGCTTGGGTCAACGAACGCGGCGCTGCAGAACTTTTACCGTATGCCTCTTCCCCATCATTTGGAACCCCACTGACCGCAGCAGCTGGCCTAAAGACGGCCTCGTCGAACGTGCAACCAACCGCATCAAGCAACAAATCGAGCTCGTCGAGACAATGACTGGTGATATGGACCCCAAGACGAATTTCAGCCTCATCATCATCCAGACGGAAGTCGAGCGGTGGAAGTTCCTCATCCGATCCTACCTGCGAGCGCGAATTGCGAAAATCGACAAACACACTCTACATTACTTGTCTACGCCTGCGCTGATGGAAAGGCTGAGCAAGACAGAGGTGGCGTATGCGACGAGATATCAGCAGTTGCTGCATGGGCATTACTTGAGCAGTTTTCTAGGGAGCTTTCCTGCGAATTTGCAGAATCTTAATGATACTGCGGGCGGGATAAGCATGATTGGGGGTCCGGATGAAGAGGCTGGCGTGTTTGTAAGGGGTCTGGGATCGAGAGAGGTTGGTGGGGAAGGGAGCGTAGCAGTGAGAGGTAGAGGAAGGGATGGGGATGGTGAGATTGATGTTCAAAGGGGAGAGGTGGTGATTGCACGATGGTCAGATGTCAGAGATTTGGTTTCGAAGGGAGAGATGGAACTGGTGTGATGGGGAGTACCACATGAAGTGAACGACGAAACATCTGGATTTCGGCTACGAACGAGCTTCTCCGCCAGAAAGCATTTGCTTCACGTTCAAATATATCCTTCCTTCGAATCCATGGATCATACATCGATCTCCAAATCCTCCAGGCCCGAGAGCATCCCCGGATCATGCTACTGGGGGCTAGAAACGAAATAATGCGTCTGTGGATTGAAGAGGATATGAGCCAGCATGGCCATGATCGTTACTTTTCCTGGGGCCAACGAAAGCGTCGAGCTTGACACCAGCTTGCAGTCTCTCTACACAGCTGCCATGGCTTCATGTCAAGTTATGGTCAAGATCCTGCTGGTACACATCGCGAAGAGGGAATCTTTGGATGAGTATGTCAGTCTCGGTCTTGTAGACGACAAGTCGATTGTAACTGTAGCGGAAGCAGACGAGAATAATCGCCCACGTTGTCAAGCTTGGAGGGACGCTTTCGATACAAACGCAACTGAAGTTATTGATATAATCGAGTCGTCAATATCACTTCTCAAGAGTCTCATCAATCCAGCTTCCTTGATTTCGTCTCGAGTGACCTAGGCAGATTGGGAAGAACATACGGTCTGCTGCACTAGTACTACATGTGTTCAGCAATGTTCTACAGGTCCGATAGTACTGCTGCTCCGCACATGCTGATATTTATTGAGCTCCAGACTTTGGAACTGGCGTCGAATGGAAAGCCAACATTAAGTATTGTGAGCCCATTGAAGCCGACAACTTCATCAGCAGTACATGCCCGCGTGTCCCGTTTGGCTGTGTGAAAAGCGGCACGGATTAGTGGAAATGAAAGAATTCCACCATGGTAGATGTGCCACTGATGATGAATGAAAAAATGCTTCGAATCTGCAGCAATTCATAACGAAAATATCACTCTTCAAAGCTTACTCTGAAACCTGCATTATCGCCATGAGACACCGATTTATGGCATTCTTACAGCCATCGGAGGTAGTGCAAAGACAGCTGAGGATATCGCGGGGATAGTAAGCACCTTGCATGCACACTAGCAACTAAGCAACCATTTGATTGCCAGCTTTCCCAATCGCCATACGAGGAGAATTAAGCGAATGTTGGACCCTTACGAAGCCTTGTCCTTGTCATCGTATATCTACTAGCATCTTGGCTTGCATGCATGTTTGCGGTGTGGATAAGCCCAACTCAAACTGTCTTCTTTTGACCTGCTTTCAACCTCGACATTCATTCTTCAAAGCTGTCGAGACGCTCAATTCGACTTTTCATCGTTCAAGACGAGCAAAGATGTCACGCCCAACATCAGCCACCGAGGTCGAGCCAACGAATTCTTCAGTAGCCCCCTCAGACTACAATCACAATGCCAGGAGGGGTTCCGTGGCCTCGAGAATGGTGCGCAGTGCTGGAGAGACATTTGCTCAGTCAAGACCACCCGTAGGAATGTTCCACGCATTTGGTTCAGTCGGCTCAAACATTCCCACGCTGAACGATATCCAATCTGGAAAGTTTGGAGATGATGGATGGTCAGGTCCAGGGCAGAGACGGCACAGCAACGCACGCCGCGATTCAGATCTTCACGTCCTCGCACTCCACCGCCCACAAACCCTGGAGCCCATCCCGGAACCAAAGAAAACGGCCGCCGTAGTAGACGAAAAGAAAGAAGGCGGCCAAATCGAAACTATCTTCTCGACCCAAACAGAAGATAACTCGATTCTCGCTCCTCACGATCCAAACGTGCCGTATGCAAACGGGTATCAATTCCCGCCCAAACACACCAAAAAACAAGCCCTCATCATCGGCGCCAAAGGAGCATGGAAATTCGTCACAACCCCCTTTGGCTTCTTGCTCACGATCTACGCACTCAACATCGTGGCCTGGGGCGGAATGCTATTCCTGATCCTGATCCGCGCAACGCCAGCTATGGCCCATCCAAACTACAACTCCTGGCAAAGCGGCGCAAAGACCTGGCTCGAGATCGATTCTCAGATCCTGAACGCTTTGTTCTGCGTCACGGGTCTGGGACTCATTCCTTGGCGCTTCAGGGACTTTTATTATCTGCTGAAGTGGAGGTATGGGAAGGACCCGAACGCGTTGAGGAGGTTGGCTGGTATCCATAATAATTGGTTCCGTTTGGAAGGGTCGCAGAATTTGGATGTGCTTTTTGATCCAACCAAAGATCCTATTCCTGAGGGCGTCGATGAGATGTGTCTCGCGCTCCCAGTAGCGTTGAGTCCTGGTCCTCCGTTGACTGGCGAGAGGGCAAGTCCTTCGACGTACTGGAAGTTGGATTTTGTGATCTGGGCGTTTGTTTGGAATACGTTGTTGCAGATTGTGCTGTGTGGGTTGATGTGGGGTTTGAATAAGTATAATCGTCCTAGTTGGAGTGTAGGTTTGTTTATCTCGCTGGCTTGTATTGTGGCTAGTGCCGGTGGGTGGGTTATCTTTAAGGATGGGAAAAAGGTTAAGAAGGTTGAGGGGGTGCCGGTTAGTGAGGATGATAAGAAGATTTTGGAGGAGATGAGGAAGAGGGAGAGGGATAGTGGGTCGGTGTGAGGGGACGGGATGGATGCTTGGAGTTTGGTGGCTTTGCTCAGGCATGTTCTTGGTTGATACAAAATGAATTTGTCTGGCATGCAACTCGTATTTTCTCTCATAGAAGTGATATGTATGCAAGTAATGGAAATATTGGTAAGACTAGGCCGTAAGGCCGTAAAAACTATCTTAATTGCACCAACTTTGCTATTTATTTGCGCTTATTGCGCGAAATGCGCTACCAGCGCGGAGCTCTTTCTTCGTCCTCTCAGGATGATCAGTAATGACTAGGTAAGTAGGCATTTGAGAAACAACACCTATTAAACAAGAACCTCCCTCCTTTTAGGAGCGTAGTACGACTCGTGTCTCTATTATCGCAACAATTCAAGTTCGAACTTCAGGAGTATGGTAAGATCTTACATGTGAAAATAAGCTTTCAGCCCTGGAGATACAGGGCAGGCTTCAGCGTCAGCGTCCCAGTGCTCACACCAAATAACTTCCTAGATTAGTAATCACAACCTAAATCAAACCCATTCTCCAGCTTATTCACCTCAAACTTCACCCCACGCCACATTGCTGACTCCCAAATTCTCTATTCGTCGCCGTATTCACTGTATCCTGATTTGATGTGCTGAGTTTTATGCTGTCCCGATTGATTGTCTCGACCACGCCTGGAAAGAAGGTGGCGATAGCCGGCTCGGCTCGGGCGCACGAAGAACGCGATGGCTTGATGACTTCACGACGACAGTATGCTTGCTTGCTTACGTCGAAAGACATTTCCGACGTCACAGGTATACGTCCGTACTGCCGCATTTGAGTAGGTTGCTCAGTGAAGAATGGTCACGGTGTCTGTGGAGGCCGAAGATGCCGTGCGAAGGCGAGGGCCGGATGCGAGGGAGTGACTGTACTTCGTCTTTTGTTGTAATGTGGATTTAAAAGAGATGAGAGACAAAATTCTGGGAACTCCTTCCTGTCAGTCAACGGGATGATTCAATTCACGACAATCTTCACGTACCTTTTGCTCGTCTTCTCGGTTCCGGTCATCTTTTTCAGTACGAGAGCTGCTATGCAGCCGATTGTGCCTCGAGTACTGGAGAGCAATGCTACGTTCTTTGTTGAGGATGTGAGGGGTTATGGGTCTAGGATGCAGAGGGTTCAAGTGTAGGTTAGGGAGAGTCGAAGATGACTTGCTCAAAAAAGTTAAGGTATGAATAGGAGATTTGAGGGATTGGGGAGTTTGCTAATGTCTCAAAGATCCTTGGACAATGATCGATGGATTGACTAAAACATGCTCATATTTTGATTATCACTACATTATCTGCCCCTTTTCACACGATTCGAGATCGATTGGCCTAATCTTCCATAGAAGCAAGTACATCAAAAGGTTCCACCTTCGCTTCCCGATTTCCATTCTGCAAAAAGTCCTCGATAGTCTCTGATGCAACAACAAACACTGGCTTTTTCCTGATCCCTTCGGTTGAGTTGGCTGTCCATCCTTTATGTGCTTGCATAGTCTGTAACTCGTCCAGGATCTCCAGGACAATGATATGATTACATATTGGAATCACTCCGCCACCAATTTCCTCCAATTCTTGCTGAGGAGCACCGGCCAATGATTTTGAATTGGACCTGATTGTCTGGAACAGCGCATTGCATGATCTTACGAGACTGATCATGTCAAACTGAAGAGCAGCGATACTTTCTTGCATTCGGTCCCTTAGGTCTATCAACAGCTCGCCGTGATTTGGATCTGATCTCTTTGTCACCTCCGATTTCTGGCTTCTCCGCACATTGAAAAGAAGCTTCTCGCCACTATCATGACCGGCAAAGTACCCTTGCAGGTGTTTAGACATGTCTAGTGCTTCTATGGAGACCTTTTGCTTGCGAACGATGGCTAAAAAGTTTGGATTGTGACGGTTCGTTGGTGATAGATATTTCAGTGGAACCCCAAGCAAGACCAAAAAACGAGTAGCACACTGCTTTAGGGTGGTTGGCAGTGATCCGTTGAAGACCCGGCTTATATTGGCTCCAATGGCTTGGTCCATGAGTGGCCATCGACTATACACTTTCTTTGATAGCTGCAAAGCGTTATATAGATGAGCCATCGTCGTAAAGGAAAGGAAGTCATTCGCCAAGTTCGTCCCTATCTGATGCAATTCGACATCCATTCTCAACGATTCGAGACCTGAGTAGACGGGCTGATGGCGGAATAGGAACAATGGGTCAGGAGACGGAACAAGCTTTTTCGGTTCAACGCCAAGTTCCTCCAAGTAAGCCATGACGTCTGGGCTCCAGTTGTCAAAGTCTTCGCTGAAGGACTCTCTCCGCTCAATATGTTTGTAGAGGACCAAATCTGGTCTCTTGATCACCGTGTTGACTCGCCAGGAAAGTAAGACAGCGGCGTTGACAGCATCAACATGTCCCCATGTGGCGAGTAACTCATGATCATCCTGCTCGATCCTGCTTTGGGAATTCTCCACATCGGTCGTCCAGGTAATCCCGAGACGAGCATCCGCTCTACTTGCTGTGGTAAGAAGATCCTCGTAGAATTCATGTCCTCTGTCATATCCAACCACATCCAAGATATCCAATAGTGCACGAGCCGCGACTACCTGTGAGATCTTGAGTTCACCAGGTTCGCGTGCCTCGTCCAACGCTTTCGTAATTTCATCATGGACTGGTTCTGACCGGCATTCTTGCAGCTTTGATTGGTCGAGCGTATCGGATCGTCGTGCATCTTCCATTGCTTTTCTCCTCGCCACTGGAACCTTATTGATCTCAATATCCAGCATGATTAGCGACAGTCTCTCGTCTTCGATAGATGTATTGCTCCCCATAGGTATCAATTCGGGTTCTTTTCCGTAGAAAAACATGATTGGCATGACCATTGGAGATAAATTGCCAGTGAATGTGATCATGGTATGACACTTCTCGAGTGAGTGGAAGATGTATGTCAGTACAAAATCGTCCATAGTCATTGTGCTTTCTTGGGTCTCGGGTCGACGGTCCAGACTTGTTCCAGGCCCTTCTCCATTACCTGCGCTGTCTTCATCTCCTCCCGTATTCAACACTTTGCCCAAGCCCTCTTCTACATCTTTCATGGCTTCTGCGGAAGAGGGCACCTTCGCCGGTGACCTGGTTTCAAAGAAGCGGACGGGGTAAATCGTCGAGGTAATGGATGTGTAAGTACATCCTCCAACACTTGGAAATTGTTGAACGAGCTCGCGTTCCGCCTTAGCCACAAGCTCCAATGCAACATTGGTTATCAGAGCGGCGACTTTATAGTTCAGTTTGCCGTCGGCCACTAGAATCCATGTCTCCACTATGATTCCCCGCAGGACGTGTATATCTTCGTAGAAACAGAAGACGGTTAACGGAAGGTCGGCATCGGCGTCGATTTCTAGTCAACGGTATGAAGACTGGGTTTAGTCTGAGCGGTGACGGATGGGAGAGTGTTGTAAGTATCCTCGTCAATTTCGTGGACTTCCAGACTTTCGAATTGACTGTTGATATTATCAGCCATCTCATCAGCAACTGATGCATTCCGAGTCTTGGTGATCTTCGGCATCTCAAAGCAAGGCTTCAAGATATCAAATGCCTCTTCCAAGACCCGAATGAAGTGCTCGTGGCTTTGATTTCTCTTGCCCAGATCACCGACCGAATGCTTATCTTCTGCAACGACAGTGGTAAACCATTGTGTACATCTCTTCCGTGCTTGGATAGCCTGCCTCAATAGGGTTTGGATGTAGAGCGGGACTGATATCTTCATCGGCGAAGCCACGATAATCTTGGCTTGCTTTAAGACCTGCGCGGTGGAAATGACTTGTCGCTGCTTGGTCTTGGCCTCAAGCTTTGCTTCCTTCTCGGCCTTAGCATTCGCCTCTCCCTTGGCTTGTGCTTCCTTTCGCGCTTTGCCTTTCAATTTTCCAGTAGCGGCGATGGGCTCGACCTTGGCCTTTGTGATAGTAATGGGCTCGTTCTCATCGGCGACGAATGGGGTCTTGTGGCCACATGATATAGCTGTCGCGTTCAGCCATGAAACGAAGGTGTTTGTGTCTGTCTTGTATCGAACGTAGCTAGCGGCCAAATTGGTTGGTAGCATGTTGGAGTTTGAGTTGAGAGAGGGAGCCAAAGAGGTTGGTTGTTGTTGTTGTTTCGAGGTTGAAAAGAAAAATCTGGACGCAGAAAGCTCTTTCATACCCGATGATTGACAAGGCTACATTGAAGCTCGTTCGCTAGTTGCGTTGAGAATAGTGCATGGCTCTCTTATACCCGATGATTGACAAGACTACATTGAAGCTCGTTCGCTAGTTGCGTTGAGAATAGTGCATGGCTCTCTTATACCCGATGATTGACAAGACTACATTGAAGCTCGTTCGCTAGTTGCGTTGAGAATAGTGCATGGCTCTCTTATACCCGATGATTGACAAGACTACATTGAAGCTCGTTCGCTAGTTGCGTTCAGAATAGTGCATGGCTCGCTCAATTGGTTCTTTAGCGCAAGCTAAAGAGTGTTGTTATGTGTTCTAGTCCATACTTGAACACCTGCTGTTTATGAACTGACCCCCCGCTATTCATGAATGGTGGAGGGTTTATGTGTTCTAGTCCATACGTGAACACCTGCTATTTATGGACTTTACCCCCACCATTCATGAATGGCGGGGTGTTTATGTATGGCACCCTTAGTTTATCAACTAGCTTTGCCATTTATAAAGAATTAGAGCATATCGAGCTAGCCATGGCTAAACAACGCCACTAATAAACAACCCGGGAATAAAGCCTTAGTCTTAGCACTTTCAGCACTTTCAGCACCTCTAGCACTTCTAGCATAGCAACAAAGCATAGCACTAATATTTATTGCTTTATTACACTTCACAGCTCGAGCATAAAATTCTAAGTAGTGGGATAGAGATGATGAAAGACTAAAGTATTGGAGATGCTGGAGGTGTTGGAGGTGCTGAGGTGCTGAAATGCTGGAGGTGCTGAAAGTATTAAGACTAGGGCTTTATTCCCGGGCTGTTTATTAGTGGCGCCGTTCACTTATGGCAGGCCCTGCTATTTATGAATAGCAGGGCCAGTTTATAAACAAGGGGTGCCATATATAAACACCCCGCTATTCATGAATGGCATATGCTTGGTGAATGGCGGGGGCCCGTTCGTAAACAGCAATTGTTGGCGTATGGACTAGAATATATGCATAGTTTGCTCTTAGTTTGTGAATGGAGTAGCAATACATAAACACTTGTGTTTAGCGCAAGAGTTTATGAATGGCGAGGTGCTAGCCGGGAATAGCACTTTAATACTTCAACACTTTATCACCCCAGCCCTCCAGCACTCCAGCACCTCAGTATAGCAACAAGGCATAGCATTTATGCTACTGCATTACTAACTTTAAAACTCTAAGCACTTTAAGTCTCTGGGAATTTAAGACTGAAGTGCTGGAGTGCTAAGGTGCTAAGGTGCTGAAGTGTTGTACGGTTAAAATTAGGGCCTGTCACGACTCTCTCCTTACCCTGGTAAGGTCACGTGGGTTGGTATGGTGAATGAAGTAAGATAAGGCAATGATATTGTAGTTAGGAAAACTTAATCAAGTTGAGCACGAAGCTCCTATCTAACGGGTGACAACCCAGGGTTATATAGAACTTGAGTGTCGTGGAGTAAAACCCCTCCTGGAGTTTTACTGTACCTTGGAGTTTTACGGGAGAGTAAAACTCCATCACGTGACCCACCGTGCGGCCTGAGGCCCACTAGTCCCGTGATCGTGACAGGGCCTTATTTTCGGCCTGTTTATTAATAGCGTTGTTCACGAATGGCGGGCCTTGCTATTCATGAATAGCAGGTGTAGTTTATAAACTAGGGGTGCCATACATACACCCCGCTATTTATGAATAGCGGGTTAAAGTTTGTAAACAGCAAGTTGTCACAGCGCCGGCTGTTACGGATCACCTGAGCCCATCGCCTGAGCCAATCGCCTGTCCTAATCGCCTGTGACAGAGGCCAGGCCGGGAATGGTGGCGTTCCCGAGCTTTAAGCCTAATGGGGCTTAGCTCCTCACCTGACATCCCCTTACTTCTGACATGTATATGTATATAGATCTCTCCTCCTCTCCTTTCTTCTCTCCTTAGCTTTAGATTCTAAATGAATAGCCCGACGTTGCGTCGCCACCTCACACCATCGTCACAGTGCTGTCACACAAGTGTTTGCTTATAGACTAAAATATGTGTTTTGATTTCCTATGTCTGGATTTTAAGCATTAATGTCTGCTATTGTCCACTTTTGTACTATACTTTGTCTCAAAAACTCGCATTGACTTAGATATGCTGACATTGCCGCAAATGATAAAGCTTTTTCCATCGGGTGCGAACATACTCATAGTCACAGTTAGGTTACCCGACGACTCATCGGGTAACCTAGGTGTGAGACTCAAAGCTTTACACAAAGGACCAACCTTGATCAGCGCAGAGGGTATCCCAGTCGCTGTACTTCCCTCACGACACATCTACAAACAAGCTTCATCGCTTCAGGGCGGCAATCTTTTCCATATTCTTTTTGATACTTTTTACCGGCGGCCGATTGGCTGCCTCTTTAACGTTGCTTATGACATCTAGGGGTACAACCTGTTGTGGTGAAGCGGCATGCTTGATGAACTCTTGCAACATCTTTGCAGTATGAGTTATCATCTCGTGGCTTTTCCCAGCAACGTCGAAAATTTCCAACTCGTCTTGCAGTCCACTAAAAAGTTTGTTGCCTGTGTATATGCTGAAGACAAAGTGGTACCGGCCTTTATTCGATCCTTCCTCTATTCCGAGGTTGATGTTGCATTCTTTCCGGATATCAGCCAGCAGTGTTGTACATTTCCTTGTCAGATCAATCATGTCAAGATCAAGAAGTGGCAACATCTTCTCCACTGAGTCTCTTAGCGTCGAAATTGGATCTTTAGTTCTGCTGCTCTTTTTGTTTGCCTGTTCATGCCCCCAGACCCTGTGCAGTAAGATTTCGCTGCTTATGTTGTTGTTGAAGTAGTCACTTAGCTGTGTCGAGGCATAATTTGGCTTCAGCAACGAACAGAGAAATTTCTGCATCTGAGCTAGACTTGGAGAGTCCTTGCGACTTCCTGGTGCAAATGCTGTGGCTGGAGTTCCAGTGCGAAGCTGCCATCTCCTGAAGATCTGTTCATTCGAGGTTGGCAAGCTGCCATTAAATAATTCTGAAATATGAGCCTCAATGACCCTGTCCAATAGTGGCCATGCTTGGTCTACAAGCCCATTCTGTTTGAAAGCATTGTATACATGGGCTATAGTCAGGATCGAAGCATGAGTATTGGCCACTCCTATCCCAAGTTTATTCATATCAACCTTAAGCTTCAACTCCTCGAGGCTGCAATACATGGGCAGACATGTATAAATAGAATCTGGTGTGGGATCACTAGGTATCTGTGTTTGATTCCACCAGACTGGCCTGGGTGTTGAAGGCACATTCTGACATTTGTCCAGAGTGGATGGGTCGTCGATCCATAATTGCTTCGTATTAACGAAGAAAGGGGCCTCAATATTATTCTTCAGGTGACGGCGTAGCTTGTTGGCCTTGTCCCATATATCATCGTTGATAAATGTTAGTTGCTGCTTTTCCCGAACCTTCAGAAATTCTACTTGAAGTTCTTGTTTCGACAATCGACTATCTCCTTTCCAGTCCATCTGGAGCGATGAAATGGTTGCCGCAGCAGAATGTAGTAATTCTGCATAAGGCTTTGCTCCAAGAACAAAGTTTTCGGCAAGCAAGTATTTAAGATCCATAAGGATCCGAGCCTGGTAAACTGCAGAGATTGTGACTCTGGATTCAGAAAGTACGCTCTGAAGACATGTTGTCGTGTTGTCAGCAAATGGAGGCTGGGAATCGGACACCTTTTCCAAATATCCTGACTTTCTTGCTGCTTGCGTCATCTTCTCCGTTTCTTCCAAGGTAATCTTCAGCTTTAGGTCAAGCATGATATTGGATATCGCAACGTCCTCCAACGGCCACCACTTGTTCTCTGGCTTTAGATGTGGTTCGGAGTGGAAACGCCAGTTCAGAAATGGTACTGATGCGAAGCCCACGGTATTGTTCATGAATCTCCTCGCTTTGTCCAGTATCAGGAACATATTTGTGAAGAAATAGTCATCGGGTTCCGAGCTCAGCACCGTCGAGTCATTTGTGCCCTGTCTCTCATGTTCCTTGACCGTTGCATTGTCGTTCTTATTCGTATTTGAATCATTCCCAAAGCCCACTTCATCAGGTTGAAGCTTGAAAGAGCGGACCGGGTGGATCATGGAGACAATGTCGTGGTACGGTGCTTTACCGAAACGTTCTGGATCCAGGTCAATGAGGACTTGCTCTGCAGTTTGGACGCGCTCCATGCATATGTTGGTGATCATACAAGCCGTTCTTTGATCTAGTTTTGCTTCCGTGACGTCCTTCCATGTTTGTTTGAGGAAATATGATAGAGTGTGCAAGTCTTGGAAGAAACAATACACTCTGAATTGCATATTGGCATCTTGGTCAATTGCAACCTCTTGCGTCTGCGATTGACTCTGCGAACTGGTGCCGACGCCGACTGAAGGGAGTGCATCATATTCTTGCATGTTGGTATCCTCCACTTCTAAGCCATGGAATCGGTTGATGATATTTTTATCCAATTCATCCTGTGCTTCCTCAACAAGAGATGCTGGCGATGGCTTCATGACCTCAAAGGAAGGCTTGAGAATGTCATGGATTCTGTCTAGGACCTTGATGAAGTACTCATGGTTACTGTTGCTCTTCTCGATGTCAACCGCTGACTTGCGATTTTGCAATGTGTCCACCCTTTCCCGAAACCATGCTGTACAAGTCTTTCGTGCATCAATGGCTTCCTGAAGGTGTCTTTGAGTAGCCAAGGGTACCTTGATATGCTTGTCCGAGTTTGCGATAGCTTTTGCCTGCTTTACAAGCTCGATGATGGGAAGTGGATGTTGCGGCAAGACGTCTGGATTGTCTTTCTGTTTTGCTTCTTTGCGAGCCTTACCCTTCTTGCGGCCGCCGAGCGGGGTATTGATGCTGACATCGACTGTGATAGCAAGTGCAGGGTCGATGTACTGGTATCCACACTTGACGGCTGTATCGTAGAGGTAGGAGATAAAGGAGTCCGTATCCCCCTTGTACCGTTCATAAGTGCTGAATAAATTTCCTGGTAGCATCTTGTACACAATTGGAAAGACAGGTGTTCCTCGAGAGGAGATGCTATGCGGATGTCAAAAGCAAATTGTGATCTCGAGATGATTCTGCGAGGAAGGTTGATGCGGGATAGAGATTGAGAAAATCCATAGCTTTTATTAGCGTGTGCCTTGTCAATAAGACTCGTCTGTTGAAGCCAATCCTGATGCTCTGCTATTTCTCTTATCGATAACGTTGTATACCGAGGCCAGGACGAGAATTCAGTCCTTCTTGGTTTCAATAGGGACTATCCAGGAGCTATCCAGGAGGCCTGGCCCAGCACTCGAGTGCCAGTGTTCAACACTGTGAGAATTGAAATTTCTCTCAGTTAATTGCACGTCTACTTTGAGTATCCTACAAATCTCTTTGTATCATACAAAGCGTAGAGCTGCTATCATCTGTATTGACTCTGCCTTTAGTTATATAGTTTTTCATATCCGTCAATTCAAGAGCGCCATTCTATGCCGATATTGAGGTCTCAAATGGCACTATCATCGTCTGAAGTTTGGGCCTTGAATTGGGCGTTGTCTATTCAAAATTTAACTCTCAATCTCTGTACTTCTAGTTTCGTATACAGGTACACTTAACTTGATAACTTGCAGCAGCTAAAGAGCGCTGCCACTTGCCCCACCTTGTTGATCCTATGTCCAGTATCTCTAGGGTAGCTTTTGAATATGTATCACGGCACCGAGTAGTACGACATAGATCCAATTTGGACACTGCCTTTATGTCTCATGCTCAATCCGGTTCAATGACAATGATAACTCAAGAGAATTGGATTTGGTGTACCACATAAGTCTAACTTTCTTTATGTGCTCGGGTGTTGTGGATGGAAAAGTCTGCTAGTTCAGAAGCATATCAGAATACTTTTCTATATAATTAGTTTTCAGGCTTGTTGGTAGAGTGCAAGTTTGTTGGTAACCGTTTTGTGAAGGCAATTCGAGTGCTGATGATGCTTATGTGCTATTTGGCTCGCAGCAGTTTCGTTTCTACCAAACATGGAAAGATTGTAGTTTTCGTAAGTCTAAACATCAAACAATGTAGTTCACTCCTTTGAAGAAGTCGATTTATGACATTGTGGACCCGATAATTTCCCACACTTTTCTCAATTCAGAATGTTCATGCCATCCTCGGGCGATATGTCCTGCATAGTAACAGTACATACGGGCTCCTAATGTTCTGCCAAGGCGGTGGGACATTTACAAATTCACTTTCACAGCACGCGTCTTTACTTCAACTTCAAGTCGGACAAGCGATGGGGTGAATTTCCTCTCCCGAAAGATTTTCTCCAACCGTGTTCAATATCCCCGCTTTCTCAGTTGTCCCACAACACCACCACCGTTATAACACCAAGAACGTCCAGCTCCATCATGATCTTCAAAGGGCTCAAAGAGTCGTTCCGCACGCGTCGCAGTCGGTCCCGCCCGCCTTCTGCTCTTCCCACGTTTAATATGGAGCGAGCCAGTGAAGGAGATCGATTTGAGAGAGAAGAGCGAATAGACAGACTTCAAGAGACCATGAATGTCTTCAGCCGTCTAGGTCACTCGATCTCAAGCAAGAACATCAAATTGCCTCCAATCCCCAGCTTCAAGCCACTCAATTTGTCCAATCTGGACATTTTCAAGAGCAAAGATGATCCCGTGTCCGATGGTATGTTTACCTTACGCGTTGCGTGAACAATTGAAGGACTTTACTAATCGAGTTGCCTTACAGTCCCTGCCGAGATTCGACGCAAGCCATGCCCCGTCAATCCTGAAGCTTTCGATACTGCAACCTTAAGTCCCTCAATGACACCAGCCGAGATTCTCCACCACAAATTCCGAGCCTTCGATCCGTGCGCACCTGTCACCAATCCATTACTCCATATGCGTGCACGAGAAGCGTTGAAGCGCCGTTACGAGAGCAAGTTCACCATCGATTTCGACCCACCAGCTGGCATTACGGCTCGAGAGTACAACTTCATGTGGTGCGATGAGGGGGAGTTGGACTTGAAGGTTTTACAGGACATTGTGTGGGTTAGAGAACGATATGCTCAGGCGAGAAAGGGAGAGCCTACTGATGAAGATGTTATTCGTTGGTATGATGCAGAGAGGTTTGACGTTGGGACTGAGTCGGTTACTGAAGGGAGTTTCCGTTAACGGTCACGATTGTGGAGACGGTTGGCACCTTTAGAGTTGAGATTGGCTTTTGTGTTTGTTTGTTGGATGTATGATGACTTTGATGTGGGTTTTACGATAACGTCCTCGGGGAGATGGGACATCTGGAATTTGAGGTTTTCATGTTTGAGGTTCCCTTTTTAAGCGAGCTTGAGAGGATGGAAATGGAGTGCTTGCTGCTACATCATGGTACTGGAGGTTACAGTCGATAAAGACTAGAGCTGAATACCAAACATGTATACCATCCACCATCCATCACTCATTTTTCCTCGTTGAGGGAAATAGAAGTTGAACAGGACGATGCAATCACGTGATCCTTTCTAGCTGCCATTTTCTTCGTTGTCAAGTTGGCATGTAGCAAGCGTGAAAACGCTCTAGAATCAACCGAGAGGTTTTCCTTAAGTTAAGTCCATGCATCGGTCGTCTTCTGACCCTCTCATGCATCTACATTGAAAGCAGCAGTTTCTGTGGAAGGAAGCCTGCATGATTCTGGTTTGAGCTCTGTTTGCATGCATAAAATGAAAGGAGAATATGGCATACAACGAAGGATGTCTGACGCATACTGGAGACTTGCAGACTCCGTTTGGCAGTCTCCTGCCCCTCTTTCATCCTTGTTCCTTCAGTTTCCAATTTCTTTCTCTTTCCCTCCGTCTCACCTACACTCAGATTTCCATCTCATAAGAGTGTCTCGGAGTCAATATCATGGCCAAGAAGAAGAATGAGAAGATGGGCAACTCTACTTCCAACACGGTTGATACGATGACTTTAGCCTTGGCTCAGACCACCATGGAAGACAAGCTCCCCTTTCAGCCAGAACCGCCCAAGCTCACGAAGAAGACTATCGTTGGAGAGTTCGATCGCTATTTCGGCAACGTTAGCAAGTTGGACAATTGGCAACGCTTGTGTCGAGACATTGGAATCAAGGATGATCTGCCAAGTATCAAGAAGTGTCGTTTGGTGAGTTGAGCTTCTACCTATTTCCCCTCACCGCTTTGTATACGGAACAACAATTAATCGCTTACTTACGAACATGGGGACAAAAGTCCGTGCGTTCAGGCTGTAGAACCTCGAAATTAAAACTCTTCACATTAGGACTAAACTATCA